AAGGCAAAACAAAAAAACCCAACTCAATTTGATATAAATAACTTGCACTGGACATTTTAAAACTTTCAGATTTTAATTACACATAAATAAATATATACAGTTTTAGAACAGTTTGGTTTGGCCTGGTTCAAGTTCTGCTCCTTGTGCTTTATTAATTATTATTAATTTTAGAAACTTGTGTGCTGTTATCCATAGGTTGTGGAGTTTTAACTAGTCCTGGGTTTAACTTCACCTGCTTTCTCCCCAGCTGTGACCGCAGCCGTCGGGAAGGCTCTCCTCCGCCGCCCCTGCCCTCGTGGTACGGCTCCGGGCTGCTCCCCCCACCGACACTTGAGTCTCAGTTTGAAAACTGTAAACGAAGTCTGAAACGGCTTTAAATCCAAAGCAGTTCCACTGGCGATTTTCTCTGGGCCTGGCTTTAGGCCTGGGCTGTAGGTGGGAAATAGGAAGTTTTTCTGCATATTTGCCTGTCAAAACCAGCTGATAAATCCAGGTACAGCCAGCGATCCAAATCCCTGCCCTCTGCTGCTCCTGCCTCTGGTTCTTGCATTGGTGAGGCTTTTGCTCTTTCTTCTCAGTTTTTCAGTTGGAACAAGTTCCTGGAGCATGTCAGGATTTCACTATGGGTTTTTAAAAAAGAAAACAAAATAAAATTGCACATGACTTGGCTTCCTGCATCCACGATTTCAAGAAAAAAAAAAAAGGCAAAAATCAAAAGCCGTCAACCTGGCTTATTATCTCAATCTCGCTACGTCCATCAGAGTTGTTTTCTTCTTGAACTCTTTAAATCTTCTTTTTTTGTCTTTGCTTTATGAGCTACATCCCAAGTTCAAATGTAGCAGTTCAGAAAACAGTGCACTGGATCATCTTTTCCCCCCCAGTGCTATCTATCGTGACCGGGGAAAGCTCCCACCGGGGAGAGGGAGGGAGGCAGCACGTTATTTCCGATGCTTCACTTCTTTTTCTGACGCTTTGGAGTCTCCGGCCGTGTGCCCGTTCCCTGTGCTGTTCATGAACATTTTATCCAACCCCTTAAGGGACTCCACCAGGTAGTTCTGGAAGGCGGTGAGCGCGGCGCAGATGGCCGGGCCCCCAAAGCCGTGGGTTATCAAGCTGAAATGAGTCAAACAGCTCTGGACACCGGGCTCTAAGATGAGGGAGGGGCGACTGTTCCCCAGCGGCGAGCGATCCTGGGCTATCAAGTCTGCAAACTCTTTACAAATTTGCCTGAAGGAGAGAGGTGGGTGTTACTATAAATGCTGTTGGAAAGCTGCAGGGACATAGGTGGGTTTGGGGTTCTTTTCCTGCTCCCTGTCCGAGCAGCTGCCTCCCCTTCGGGAGTTTTCGGCTCCAGCCCGGGGAAAGCCCCCGGGTGCGGAGTGGGAGCTGGTGCAGCTGCTGCTGCTTCGAAGGGGCGCGCGTGGCAGCGCCGAAATGCTCCCTGGGCTGAGGTTAACCTCTCCCGTGCGGGAGCAAGCCCTTCGATCCACGCAAGTTATTCACCTTGCTGCGCATCTTTCAGATGCGCCTGCAGCGCGTGAGGCCATCTCTTCCCCGCAGAAGGGTAAGCTGTCGGGGCTGACGCTGCCCTTCTGGGCTGTGGGTACCTAACCCACCGGCGGCTCGTTGCCATCTGTACTCACTTGGTAGCCAGCAGCATGTTTTTCCTGGTGTGGAGCTCCGTGGGGTCGGAGTGCTGTCGGCACAGGTACTCTGCTGCTGCCTTGGCTGGGAACTCTGTTTCGCAGACGTACCCGAAATCCCGAGCCAGGTGAACGGCCTCACCTACGAGCAGGAGAGATTAAGATGCTGTGTCAACACCTGCCTGCAAGGGCAGCACTTTCTGTACCAACCTCAGCCCTCTCACTGACGTGGCTTATTTCTGCTGGGACTGGAGCCCTTGCCTTTCTCAATTGCCACCCGAGAGTTCTCTCCACCTTTGGTGCAGAGACAGCACGAGGAGTTTCTTACACTCATCTGTAAGACAATTAGTCTACGTGGGTCCAAACGAACCATTGCCAACTCTAAACAGAAGCTGGTTCCTTCCTTTGCTAGCTTTTACAAAAGCATCAGGATGGTGCTGGAGGTGGAGCAGGAGGTGCTCCAAAAGGAAGAACGGCAGAGGTGCTTCTCACTTGGGCACGGCACTTGCTGCATCTTTCTCTCCCTACTTCTTCCAAAATTTGGCTTCTCCAAATTGAGCAGAGAGGGTGAAGAAGTGACCTTAGCCCCATGACCACTAGACAAACCGGGGGTGTGAGAAACGGCAGAAGGAAGGGGTTTACATCCTCCCGCAGTGAGCAGGGGCCCTCGGGCTGGGCGCGCAGGCAGCGTATCCATCACCCCGCGGAAATGCCCACCCATTGATGGAATTGATCCATCTCCAGGCGTCCCCGTGGAAATAATCAGAGTTGATGGCAATTGATCATGCCCATCACCCAAAATCCCGGTCGGGCAGGCAGAGCTAATTTGACTTGCCTCCCTGCTGCTCATACGTATTAGGCCATCCATCCTAATAGCATTAACCTAGATCCTGTCACAGTCTTCCCAGCTCCCGGAGCTCAGTCTGTGAAGCCACGCTATGGGGAAAGTGTCTGTGCTTCCCATATAATGATTATACTTTGCACTTCTCCTCCTCCAAAGAAGGAGCAAATAAGGTAAATCTGGCGAACTGGCACCGCGGTGGTTTGTGTGTTACAAAACAATCGGAAGGCAATAGCTGCTCCTCCCCTGGGTCCCTGCTGGAGCTACGCTCACGGAGCGGGTGCCCGAGAGGGGGCAAGGGCTCCCCGAGGAAGCTGCGTGTCCGCCCGCAGCCCTCGCAGTGCTCCCGGCCTTCCCCGGTACCCATTCTCCCCATCTATACGAACGGCTGCGGGTCAGTGTAAGAAAAAGTGTACCACCAGCACTCAAAAAAACACCCAGTGTTTTTTTAAAACGAACAGACGTTGGGAAGGCAGAGGGGAGAAAAGAAATTAAACCAGGACAGCAAATGTCCAAGAAAGAGGACATGCGGAGTAAGGAGAATGCAACGGCACCTTCCTCTGGGTGAAACCTCTCCCAGCACCATCACACTTACGTGCAGGAGGAAATTAGAGCCATCAAGCACACATGGCACCGCTCTTTATTTACTATGAGCTGGTAAGCGGTAACCAAAACATCAGCAGCCACCTGAAATCAAAGTATACATTTCTTCCTTCCTTTCTTTCTTTCATTCTTTTCTTTCTTTTCTTTTAATGGAAATCAGCCTTTCATTCAGCACGAACCAACTGCCCTCAGTAACAACCTCCGCCTAATGAAGCGGGTCATTTAATTTGCTGGCAACAATGGAGATGATTTTCTATTCAGAAACTGCAGGCAGCTGCCTCCAGCACGCTGGGCGCAAACACAATGGATTCCAAAGCTCGAAGGGAGTCAGAGCTGTCACTGCATTTGTTTGCGTCCCGTGTCCTTTTCTCCCAGGATGCAGTGGCGACTTCATCATTTCCATAGTGCAAAAAGTAGGAGGGGAGCAAACAAACCAGCGGCGTTCGGCGGGGGCACCTCGCACGTCAGAGCAGGTCGCACGCCGCCTGCCCAGGCTGGGCTGCCGGCAGCACGTTCTCCATCGCTTGGCCCTTCACGCCCCGCTCCGAGGACCGCTTCTGCAAACGTTACCTCCACCGGCAAGACCTGAGAGCTGTGCAGCATCTCCTGCGTGTCTCGCTGGTCCCCTGCTGTCCCAGGAGAGGAGGGCAGGGCTCGGATACGGGGCATCTCCTCCTTAGGGGAGACAAGACACGGACCCACGGGTGGTGATGGAGCCTCGGCAGAACAGGTCGATGCTGCCCGAGGGCGGCACTGCCGGCAGCACCCGAGTGGTGTCCCAAGTGCTACGGAACAGCTGCGAAATTCTCGGCAGCTTTATTCAAGCTTTTTTGTATTTGGTCTCTGTGAACCTGACTGAGCGTTCTTAGAACTAGTTCACAGAAACGAACGGCACGCTTAGATAGAGCCGAAAGGAAGCTGGCAGCCTCCTTCGGGCTGTGGATGCTTTTTCCTAAAGGTCTCTGACCGGTCTGACAGAAAGGTCTGAGTTTCAGAGGACAGACACGCTTGAATCAGCCTGGAGACTTCCACGGGGATATTTCCAGTCCCAGTCGGTGTGACCGCTGCATACTTTGTTTTAAGTGTTCTCGTTTGTGGAAAGCTGCAAATGAAGGGTATTGAAGTTTCGGCACTCCCATCCTCCGCGGGAGGGGAGAGCGGCTCTTACCTTCCACCAGGGATGTCAGCAGGGTGACGTTGGCAGCTTTGCGCCTTCCTGCAGGTAGATTTAGTCCGATTTTCTCTAACCTTTCCCTTAAACACCGACCCCCGTTTTTTGATTTTGCTCTGAAAAGAGAAACAAGGAGGGGAAAAAATTATAATGTAATTAATATTAAAATAACTATAATCCCAATTTACGCTTTTAGGTTTGAAAGAGAAGAAGAAAAAGCAACAAACCCGCCACTCCCCAATACACCACGCACCAGAATTTCTCATCTCCGTTAATCTGAGAGGCAAGAGCTGGTGCTGGACCCAAAGCTTGCTCCGGCATTCGCCCCTGCACCGCAGCCCCGCGCCCTTGGGCCATCCCGGAGCTGTCAGGAGCAGTTTACCTGCGGAGGACTCCGCCGAGGAGAGAGGCGTTGAGACACTCGGGGGGCGAGAGCCTTCTCTGCACCTCCCCGACGGTCACCTTGTACTTGGAGGTGGAGCTGAGAAGAGAGAGGCGGCCAGGCACGGAGCAGAAGACCTCGTTGGGATTCGTCACCCCTCCGATCAGACCATCTTTGTTCATGGACAGGGTGGAAATGGTGGTGCCGTTGGCCTTCGAGGGGATGGGCACTGGGAGACAAGGAAGGGAGAGAGAAGAGAGGACCGTGGCTGAGCAACCCCGGAGCCAGGGAAGCTCCTTGCGGCTC